CGGAGAACAGGGTGTCAGCAGGGATTGTGGTTCGTGTCCTGGGCCCCACAGAACCACGGGGTCACCGCAGAGACCCCGCTTTCCAGTGGATGACAGGGCTCAGGCCCCACTGGCCTCTCTGTAGATATCCAGTTAGTAATCTGCCAGCCCTGACCAGGACTCAGTCAAATGATGCTGCCCGCCCAAAGAGCAGACGGCGCTTCGCCCTGCGACATGCCGGCCAGAGTAAATCCAGCCCAGCTGGCTGCTCTTGGGAAAAGAAGGAAAAAGGGGTGGAAAGAGGCATGGAAGTAGGGGAAGGGTGGAGGGAGGACTGGATAGAGAGAAGAGCAATTTAGAAGGGTGGTCAGAAGACAGAAAGCAGTGTGGTCGATGGTGGTCATTCAACAGCTGTGGCTGGGGACGATTCTCTCTTCTGGGAGAATCTGACCCAGAGGAACAAAGGCTTTGTGGTTGTGTTGAGTGTTTAACTAGAGGACAGGAAATGCAGACTTTTTTTTACAGTGGGAAGAAAACTCAAAAGCCGCTCAGTGGGAGGTTTTGGTCGTTTACAGCATAACCATGTCGTCAAGCATCATAACAGCACCCACCTCAAAACAGAAATGACAACTTTCAGATGCTATAATTGCTCCAACCTATATTCAAAGGATTCCTCGGCTACAGTAAGCCTGAAATCTATTGTTTGACAATTAGTCATTAGAGTTTCCGTTATTTTCACAAGCGCTCTTTTCACTTGAACAGTGATTTTTCCCCCTTTTTGTCCTCGAGTGATTCGGGTTTTTTAAGCGCTTATACAAACTTAGTGGGTCGTGACTGCACAAGTCCTCCTAACCACTGGCCGACACCTCACCATGGAGACACAGTCAAGCAAAACGTTTATTTATCTTTACGCTCCAGCCACACCCTCGCTGTCTGCATATTAAAGTCTGCTGCTTCTCTTTCTCTTTTCATTCAGTCACTTCATCACTTGCTCATAACATCGCTTCTTTCATTCTCGGCTCTTTGTTTTCTGTTTCCTCTCCTTCCTGTCCTTCAGCTAGATTAACCTCTTCTCGATCATTTTTTTCCTCATACGTCGAGTTCCCCCTCTCCTTCTTCCTTCTTTCTATTTCTTAGATAAACTCTTCCTCCTCTCTACTCCCCTCTGTCCCACTGTCAGTGTAATTCCACTGGTGTCAGACCTCCCAGGTAGGCTCCTACACAGGTAGATAGCTGCTGTGGTGGGGAAGCTTCTGTGCTGTCGGCTTCCTGACGCCTGACCTGCCCCCCTCCCTCAAACACACACACACACACCCCCTCACACTCATACACATGCACACCTTGCCTCAGGGGGGTCAGTGTCATTGTTGACATTGGACACATGCTCGTTGTGGTGCAATATTAAATCTTCTCATTTGATTTGGACTGTAATTATGTCGTAAAAACAAACTGGCTGTGAAGCCATGGCCCGCCAGTGTGATCTACTTTCATCAAGTGCAGACTGGCTTAATTACAGAGTGCGCCATACACCCATCTTTCACTGGGCAGCTTTTCCTGCAGCTTCTTTAAGCCATCACATTCTTTTATTGTGCGTTAATCACAAGGCAATTTGGCCGTTTGCAATGGCTGAGGGTAGATTTTAACACTGGTCTGTACACATCCTGTGGATTCTGGGGGAAAAAAAGTCAAGAGTTAAGCAGATGTACATGGTAATGGAATACGATGCCTCTTCTATTTCTGCGGTGCACTTAATGATATGGTTTTCATCCCACAAAGGTATTCAAATTCTCTGGTGAGAATAAAGGGGCTTTTTTTCCTGGTCTTTGTACACTTCAAATTGACTGTGTGAAGTCAGACAGATAAGTAAACTTCACAATAAATGAGTAAATCTCATCAAAAGAAATCACACTGATGTGTGAACGCCTTTAAATAAACCGTGGATCTTTTATCTCGTGCATTATCTTAGGACGGAGCCATAAAACACACAAAATAACACACGTGTATTATCTATGAATTTTATGGGCAAATTATTTCCACATAGGGCTTCAGCTCTTTATCTGGTCTTTACAGCCACGCAACTGAAATACATGTTTGTTTAGGCCCACATTTGCCAAAGTCGAACCAGATTTCACCTTCACATCAATGCACACAGCAGGATGCCAGATGCCCAATCACAGCATATGGTAACAAAGTGTGAATTTTTGGGGGGGTTGTAATTCATGGAGTATATTTTGAAGCAATGCTCATGCTCTGATACAACAAATATTCCAGCCAAATACATACACTGGCTGCTTGCGGAGTCTGTCAGAAACAACAGGAGTGTTTCCAGTTAAGAGGACAAAGTGGACATCAGAGCCTGCGAAACCTCCACGCACCACTTTCAACCAGGAGAAATATGGTTTGAGTCTCTTGTGAGACCCTTTGTTTGGTTTTCACTCACAGTTTGCTCAAATTTAAGCACCAAAACTCTTCGACCCCCTGAGGTCAGTTAATCTTAAAATGTAACCATAGGTTACAACAAACTGCCTCCACACACAACCTGCACATTTGTTGATTTACAGGGGAGGAGTTTGAGCAGCGTAAGAGACGTAAAATGCAACAAGTCCAGTGTAAGCGACTGGCATGGCTGTGTTTGGTTCTACACAGATGCACACATGGCTTTGCAGATATTCGTCTAGACACGAGTGTTACAACTTGTAACCAGGGTGTAAAATTCACAAATGTACGGCAGCCCCGAGAGAGAAAAAACAAAACTTACTGCTTAAGAAAACAAGAGGAAACAGAAACATGTTGGAAAAACATGCAAATGATCACAGCTGGTCCGTTGCATTATTGTCTCCAAAAAAATCTTGTGTTACATTTTGTGTGCTTTTGCAGGATTTTTCTATTTGCTCTTGTTTTCATTTAGTTGCAGTGCCTTTCGGGTCACCATACACGTGCTCAAATTTGATCTCAGTAATGTGTGTATGAAAACCTATAAATAAAGCACCTTAAAATTCTTCCTTATGTTTTCGTTTACGGTGGCACAGTTGGTAGGACTGTTGCCTCACAGCAAGAAGGTCCTGGCTTTGAATCCACCATCTGGGCGCAGACTTCCTGTGTAGAGTTTCCATGTTCTTGCCGTGTCAGTGTGGATTCTCTTTGGGTTCTCTGGCTCCCTTCCACAGTATAATGCAGGCGTTTAGTGGGTTTACGTTACCTGGAGATTCTAGGTGTGAATGGTTGTCGGTCTCTCTGTGTTAGCCCTGTGACAGACTGGCCACCTGTCCAGTGTGTACCCCACCTCTTGCCCCGTGGTAGTTGGGATGGGTTTCAGTCCGATCCTGGATTGGATAATTGGAAGAGAAGGGATGGATAGATCATTCAGTTAAAAGAGGTATCGTATCCTACAGTGGACTGTATAAATGTACACATTTAATGGATTTACTAATCAGATGATGAACAGCCTCAGATGTCTTAAAAATAAGTAAGTATTTAAACAATAAGTTTATTGTTCACAGTGTGGCAGGGGATATGACTTGTCAATATGAAGGCTGTGAAACTGATAATGTAGGGTTCATGATCCACTCTTCAAGATTTACAACACAGCATTTCCTGGTGTAAAATACAATGAAGTCAAAACATTGTACCCACCGTCTCTGCAAAGCCACTCAGTGGGCTGGTTTGGACCCACTGACAAACTGGCTCTGGTCCCAATTTAACTCATGAAACCATCACTCAGAAAAATAATACACCAATACAGCAAATACATGCTACAGTCATGTCAGTGGGTACTGATAAGCCATAGAATATGGACACGGCAGGGTTCATGTTAGCGATGAGTGAGTGAGGGAGGGATAAAGGATGGATCTGTCTGGGGACTCACCCTTTTATGTCTTAATAGATGAAAAAGAAAGACTGAAAGCTGAAGGGTCACAAAGGGAAAACCCCCTTGTTTTTGTCCCTCTCTGCCGGCCTTTTAAGATGGGTTCATCAGCGTTGTGACAGGTATGTGAAGTGGACATCTTACTAGAGGTAATTGCCATTTCTCTCCTGTGGGTCATTGTTTGTCCCTACGCCCAACAAGACCATTACAGAAAGAGGATTTTAGATTGTTACCGCAGCAGAGCTTCGGATCAAGGCTCTGCAATTCTGTCGTTCTCTCGTGAATAAGAACCACAAAGATAAAAAAGTCAAAATCTTCCAAGCAGATCCATTAGCAATGTGCTGCGCTGTACATAAACACAGTAAACACTCCCCACTGATGCGGTTCTTAGAACAGACTGCTGTGGCTTCACTGCAGAAACTATTACGGTGCCACCGAGGAGTCATAAAGGTGATTAACAGCCGCCTCTAATTAAAGATCAATGGAGAGTCTTTCCGAGCCGATTTGTTATGTGAATTAGAATGGTGTCCATTAATGTTGTCAGGCAATATCACTGTAAGACTGGGTATTGATGTGCCCTTGCTTGAGAAATAGCACAGTCTAAACTGTAGCTCATGACATTAGGATTTGCTCATTAATGTCCTTTATTCGTAGCACGGCGAACTGCGAGCAGCCTCCTAGAGGAGTTTACAAATGCATGGGATACGAGTCATCAGAAGACTGATAAGCAGCATACATCTTTCTGCTGGGTTTGAGGTAGTTGTATGCAGTCGCATTGAAGTTTATAAGCTAATCTGGTGTGGGCTGAAGTGCACCATTAAGTGCACATAATGCACAATTCTAATAAATCTGCTTGTTCAAGCTCAAAAGCTTTGAACCATCGGTTCAAGTGTTATGAGCATCTAATTCTAGGGGTGTTGTAGAAAATGATTAGACGAGATGCTTTTAGCATTTGCCCCATTAAACAGCTTCCGTCATTATTGGATATGTGAATCCCCAATGGCCTTCACATGTTTCTGCTGAAATTTGTGAGTGGACTACAAACCATAAATTTAGAAATCTTAAGTGTCATTTTAAGTAATGTCTTTTGCCATGTCAACTCATTTAGATGAGTGTACTGAAAGAGGGTGAAAAAAAGAACCCATAGAGAGCACAGTATTAGTGAATCAGATCTTTATTGGGCAACATTAAAGTTGGGATACTTGCCAGTAAGCAACACGTAGCCCAAAAAAGGGTTTTCAGACCAAAACCCATCAAGGTCTGATGACAGAGGGTCACTGAAGTCCTCATGGAAACCTTCAGCATCAGGATAAGACTCAAAGCCTTGCATTTCAGTTTCAGATTCTGAGTTGCCATGCTCAAAGGCCCTCTCCACACGAGACAGTTCGCCTTTCTGGAACACAGGGGGAAGAGGGTCTGGTGCTCCCACATAGAAAGGTGGAAATTTGTCAGCTTGAGGGCTGTGAGGCATAACTGCCCAGCTGAAGTCTGAGCACAAAAGTTAAAGAGGGATGTTGAGTATTATGGCAAGCTTGTATTAAGAGTTTATTTCTACATGTCTGTACTAGTTACCGTGTTTTAAGCCCAGCTGAAAACTCAGTTGTGTCGAGTCTGCGTGGGAGTCACTACTGTGTCCCGAGTATGCAGACGCAGGATAAGCATCAGAGCTTTAAGAGCTGCCTGCTGATCCACTCGCAGCACTACTTTCAGGGTGATCTGAATTTGGGACAACCCAAGAATCAGATGACACGGGCGCAAACACAGCAGAAGGTACTTCCCAATCAGAATCAGCAGGAGATTTAAAGTAACCACTGCTGGAGGAGACGTCAGGATCCGTACCTGCACAGCAAGAGAAGTCATTAGTACAACTTTAAAGCAGACTTTTAACATTAGAATTAGAAATGCTGAGACTTGTTGAATTTTACCTCTTCACAGAGTAGCTGTAACTATCTCCACTCAGCATGACAAGCAGCAAAGCCCTGTCGACATAGAAAAAATATTAACTACAGCAACTTGGCAACAACTAAGACCCCTCAGAAAATATAACCACTCACTTACCCTAAGGAAAGCCAAACACCCATCATGTTGAACGAGCTTCTTAATAGCCACTGCTGCCCTGTCAAAGCTTTATAAATGCTACAAATGACCTGCCCTGACCAATCACAGCATAACAAGTTAACCACGCACAGCTGCACAGATAAAGGCGGAGCCCTCAACCTGAAATTTAAGCTGGTCCAGTTGCAATGATTTTGTTCAGTGCTACAGTACGTGCAAAACGTTTTCTTTACATACAGTTTTGTGCCTCACTGCGTGTTGGCCCAGTGATTTTGATTGGTCACTTGTTTTATCATCGTTAACATGCACCAGTAATTCACAAGCATGTCCATACTGTAATGAGACGGACACCTATCTAACTGAATTGCTCAGAGTCTTGGGTTGTTAAAGATAAATAACATTTTAAAACACAAGAAAGATGTCCTATGCTGGTGGAGCTAAAGTGCCAAAAGGCCCGTCACACGGCTCCCTCGTAAAATATTAGATTTCCGAAAGATTTTTACAGCAAACAAATCATCGGCGCCAACCGAAAACTGGGGTGCAGCAATTTGTTTTCTTGTCACAAAACTTTAACTCGAAGAACATATCCTGTGGAAATTGATAAACAGCGCAACTATATGAGAAAGCTCAATGCATTTGATAGAGCACATCCCTTCATTAAGATCTTATTCCTCCATACCCAGCTTGAGACTGTGCCAAATGTGCCGCGGTTCTGCATTGTGACAATTTCCGGCTCTTCAGATGTGTATTTCCTGGCTTTCTAATCAGAATGTTATTTTGTATCTCAAAAGGGGCTCCATTCAGCCCAACATTAACAACCCTCGTCTGAGATAATGTGGATGCTTCGGGCCATAGGCCACCAGCTGCATCCACTTGTCAGTCTTTGGTACAGATGCCCTGTCTGTCTGCTGTGCGAATGAAACTCATGGACTAAATTGGCACTTATTGTGCAGAATCATTTTATGTACGCATTTTAATGTGCCTCATCCAATTCCTTAACACGGTTTAATTTTATCTGCTGACAGCTATCTCGGATTTTAAACTGATTTAAATAGAAGGCTCCTGTCCCGCTTGTAATTTATGTCTTTGAGTGGCCAGTGGAGGCCACGTAGAAACGTTATGGATCTTTGGATTAAGCTCAAATACTCTCAGGCAATTTAGTCAAATCTGCTGTATTTTCTGTGCATCATATTAGTTTCTCATACAAATCAAATGAAGAGAACTCAATTATGATGGATCAATAATTCAGCATTCTCAATTATGCTTTAATTGTAAGAAGCAATATCATCCAATCTTATTGTGTGGATAGGTGTTGTTGCTCTGCAGAGCTTTAGCTGATTGTTTGTATGAGATTAGGGCTGTGTATCAAGGAAAAGATCAGGCAATGTCACAGAGCCTTAGATAGCCGGCAAGTGATGCGCATAGACACACTCCCGCAGACACTCGGATACACTCCCAAATACACACAGACTCTTAATGACATGAACACATAACATAAAGCCAAATGCTGCCACTAAAATTTGCATGGTGCTCAGTAATGCATTAGTGAACATCACTTGGCAATCTGTTCATACGGGCTTAATTGGATTTTAATACCGCCTCTGATCTTGTTTTCTAATTAACGGCGGTGGCTGGCAACCAAGCAGAACCATGCACCCAGCAACACCTTTGATCCCGGCCATATGGAGTTCCTCCAAGCACGCCGGGGATGTAAAAATCCCTCACCTAGACGTGGGCGAACAACAGGCCCCCGTATCAAAATGGATGGGGTGAGGAAAATGAAGGAGGGTGGAGAATGGAGGAGTGCGGCGAGAGGGTGCCGAGGGCGGTGGGGGCCAGCTCGGCGGCGGTGGGGGGCGGGCAGTGGCATGTGTCATCCACACATCCTGGCGGCATTGTTATTGATTAATTTCGCTCACGATCGGTTGTGATCACAGATACATAAAACATGAGAGGGGGGACTAAATGCCTGTACACCTTATCATCCCCGCTGCCATTCGACACCCCTTCCTTGCTACAGGGAAATGTCAATAGCTTTTCTAATCTGTTTACTTCTCCCCTTGTGGCCACTGCTTTATGCTTTTGATGAAGGGCTGCCAAAAATGTGTCCTTTTTTTACCCTTGCTTTTCCTGTTTTGGCAGACAAAGTGTGGGTATTAAACTTTACATCTGCGTAGTCACCTCAGCTGTCACGTCTTCTATTTTGCTATTTATCAGGAGATCACTTATAGGTCCAGTGTCGTTTTAAAAGTGCCGGACTCGTGGTTTTTCTTTACGTCATCAGCCTGACAGAACGCAGGCAAAAGCCAACCTGGATCCTTGGCAGAAAGGGGACAAAAATCCAACAAATAGCCAAAATATAAAGCACGCCACATAAACCATGTCAGAAATTGCACCACAAAAGCAAAAGCAGACAAGAAAGAGAGATGCCGTGATCTTGACCCTACCGGTATTATCATCTAATCACTATCATCTGTGTTGCATGTTTTCTGTTAGTGTAATTGAAAGATCATAAATTCCTTTGTGAATTCTAACGAAAAAAAGCAATTATATCCCTTGGAAACTGCTGGATATTTGACATGTGTGAAACAGTAACTGCAAGTAACATCATAACAACACTGCAGGGAAAATGAGCTTTTTCAATCATCTTTTGAAGAAAAATTTCAATGTTATTCTGCAGACAGAATTAGACCCCTTCCCTCAGAAGCTAGAATTGCCTCTTTAGCAGAAATCACTCATTCCTCATCAGCTTGCTGAAAATTTTGACCACTCTTACATTCAAAATTCCTTCGGTTGTGAGATTCATGAAAGTTTTCTTGGATGTACTACCTATTTCAAATCCTCCCACAACATTATGATGGTATTAAATCTGGGCTCAGGCAATGCCATTCCACAACCTTTCATTCCTTCTTTTTGAGGTATTCTGTGGTGGATTTGCTTGTTTGCTTAGGATCGCCATCCCGTTGAAACGTCGTCTTCCATTTCAGCTTCGCTTTTCGGACAGATGGCCTCAAAGTAACTTCGAGCCCCTCTCGCATGATGCAGAAAGCGTAGCCGAATCAGTGCCTGCATGCAGACCTGTCCTCGAGGCAGTGAAGCAACCCCAAACCAGAACATTTTTGGAGTGCAAAGACATTTTCCTGGCACGTTTTCCATTTCATTTAAATTTGGGCAAACTCTTTGTGTAGACATTCAGCAGAGGTTGTCAATAGATGCACTTTGACACCAGTAGTTGCAAAAGTTACCCGCACGTCCTGGAGAGGTTTTGAGTCTGCTTTTAGGTTGAAATTACTGTGCAGGCCAGTCTTGGAATTACTGGCAGTCATTTATAAAATCTTCACCACTTGGAGATGATTTTCCTTACCGTGGACTGATTTATTCCCAAAAAAAACCTGGAGATCTTTTAAAATCCCCTGCCAGACTCATGGGCATCCACAACCTCCCCCCCCTCTCCCCCCAGAAGCTTTAGAGAGCTCTTTAGATCTTGGCGTGTTGACACCACACACTTCAATAACAAAGAGAACAGCAGACCCAAGACGTCTGAGGTTGAACTAGCTCCCTAAGAAAGCTGTACCGTTGGCTCCGGAGCTGGAAACCCTGATAATTTTATGAATTTGAATGTGTGATAAAAGCAGGGGTGCTTGTGACATGTGATGTTTCGGTTTTGTCTATTCTTTCATATTATTATGAAAATAACAAAAAATGCCAACAATCTGTAATTTGTTTGAGGATCTCATCTGTAGACATGTTTGTTTCTTTTTAAAGAGATTAAGACTTTCCTGAAAAACTGACATGGGATGTACAAACATGTGTTTTTTCACATGACAGATTGGATCTTTGTAACCATTTTATCAATAGCATCTCAGTAAAACATGCGCTGCACTTTTATGTAGAGGATTTAGACTCTTGTGTGCAGGATACATATAAAGTGGGCAAATTAACTTAGCAACAGGCTACTAGCCAAGCGTATTTAATGATCACCAATATACCAAAACAGCCAAAACATTAAATACAAACCTATAACAGAATAGCCTAAATACAGTAGTACAGCTTGATAAAATGAAATAAATATCATAAAATGGAGCAAATGTCAAACATTACAAATCTAGAAAAAAGACAATAAAGGTAAACATAACATTTATACAGTTATTCATATAAAAAAATAGCAAAAAGATCCATCCATCCATTTTCTTCCTCTTATCCAATTCAGGGTCTCAGGGGGGATGGAGCCTATCCCAGTTGCCACAGGGCAAGTGGCACGATGCACCCTGGAGAGGTTCTCAGTCTGTCACACAGCTCACACAGAGAGACAGACAACCATTTACGCTCCCACTCAAACCTGCAGCCAAATTCGATTCACCGGTGTTCACCTAAATTCATGTCTTTGGACTGGTGGAAGAAGCCAGGGTACCCTGAAAAAGCCCACGCAAGCACGGACTGAGCTTACGAGCGCCACAAAGAGAGACCCCGACGGGCTGGTGGATTTCAGCTGAGGACCTTCTTGCTGTGACGCGATGGTGCTAACCACCGCGCTGCTCTAATGAAGTGACAACAAAGTCAGATAGCGCAGTAAATTCACCAAAGCAGAATAAGAGAGGCTTGCTAAATGTTGTAAAAAAAACAACAAAACAGGCACAGCAGATGTCAGATGACGTTCAAGTGGCTTAAGAATATCAGCGTTAAGTGTTGTGACATTGCAGGGTTGAATTAAACTCTTAACATGAGAGAAGAGATGAGTCTCTGCTACACAGATGTGTTGCAATGTAAAGACCTAGAGGGCGAAGTATGGGAGATTTCCTGCATCTGTCCAATACGGCAGCAGAGCTGAATCAGTCTGTCAGGGTCAGTGCTCTGCTGACTGTCCAGTAGGAGGTGCAGGGGGTGGTCAGGATTATCCTGCACTCACTTATAATCACCCCCATCCTGATCAGTTTATTCAGACACACTATTCACAATATACACCTTTAGGATAATTTGTCGATGTACAAGTTCATCCAGTAGGGCTACAGCTGTGATAAGACAACTGAGAAAAGTGCTCCCACGGTGCTGCAGGATGTATAATTGTGGT